GGAAGACAATTCACCAGGGGAACTGCCTGCCACTAGAAGTTGTGGTTGCTCCATCACTGGAGGTTTTTAAGAAGAGACTGGGCAGCCTCTGAAATGGTGTGGGGTCTTCTGCTTGAGCTAGGGGGCTGGACTAGAAGACCTCCGAGGTCCCTCCAAGCTCTATGATTGAAATAAATACATATTTTTAAAAACCTTGGAAGACAGGGCAATGCCCCACTGTTGCCCACAAAAAAAGCCTACAGGGATATTGTCCCCAAGATTCGACTCATTGGTAAAACAATAATAGGTTAAAAATATGAAATATTTGCAACAAGATCTCCCCTGCCCAATAAGGGCAGCTTGTTTAACACCAAACCTGAGTGAGGGACACCATCCTATATTTCTCCTTGAAGACTGCAGCTTGTTTCCTGGATTGTTTATTCTTTAGTCAGATATCTCCACTCCTCTACTCGTTGCAGAATACCTTATGCCACCAGACTCGAAATTCTAGACCTAGACAACCTAGAACTACGCCGCCTTTGGTCCGATCTAAGTATAGTACATAAAATCATACATTGCAATGTCCTGCCTGTCAATGAATACTTCAGCTTCAACCATAACAATACAAAAGCACACAATAGATACAAACTCAAGGTAAACCGCACCAAACTCGATTGCAGGAAATACGACTTGCAGCAACAGAGGGGTCAATGTCTGGAATACTCTACCTGACTCTGTACTTTCTTCCCCAAACCCCCAAAACTTTAACCTTAGACTGTCTACTATTGACCTCACCCCCTTCCTAAGAGGTCTGTAGGGGGCGTGCATAAGCGCACCAACGTGCCTACCGTCCCTGTCCTACTTCTTTTATTTTTCTTATATGTATCCATGTATGTCAGAACTATGTTTTTACTTATACCTATTATCTTGTAAGCAATTGACAAATAAAATAAATAAATGAAATAAAAATATGGGTGGGTATATTTGGGTCAACCCTGGCATGGATAAGAAAGGGTGCCAATTTGGAGGCTTTGATACCTTTGTCATTTATTAACCTTGGCAAGATGTAGATAGGAAGGACTTCAACTCCCAGAATTCCTCTGCTAGCACGGGAAGTTCTGCAAGTTGAAGTCTACCCACCTTCTATCCATCTCCAATTTGCCAAGGTTGAGGAACACAGTCATAGGAGAAATATTTTGCAAATTCATGCTGTTGATGCAAAAACTTATTTCTGCACTTCTGTGCGATCTATCCAGCTTCCTCTTCCATATCAACCACCTATAATGGCTAGAAGTGCTGTGAATTACAGGTTTCATTTATGAAGATTCGTGTTGTTTTCGGTATAGTTTTGTTTTCTTGAGATGTTCACTCTGGTTGCCATAGGGGTGGGAGAAAAACCCATCCCTGAGGCTTCCAGGACGGTTTATTGTGACAACAAGATTATATTAACTGATTAGAGGCAGGTTTTACTAGAGCGAGAAAGCCTCATGTAGACAGTTTCTACTACACGTCAGCCATTTCTCTCTGTCAATGGATTGTTATTGCTTTTCAAAGCAAGAAAGGATAATTGTTAAGAAACATGAAGATAACAACAGAAAAAGTAAAAACTGGATGGTTTCATATTTAGCTATGTTTCTGCCTCTTGAAAGTGGAAGTGCATATGTAATATCCATTATTATAACCTTAACTGTACTTACTCTGTTGTTTTATTGAAGTATGTTTAGCTAACGTCTCAGTAGACGTGCTTAGGACCAAACCTTGCCTTTAATGACAGAACTGGGTTGTTGTTGTTTTTAATAACACAATAAACTACGTCAAAAAACTCCACCTGAACAATCATAACACGATAAATAGAGTTTTATTTGTGGATCATCTCAAAATGCTCTTTCCATTATTGAAATCATGCCTAAGGGAGGAGACGGAGAAGCTGGCAGGAGAGCGAGGTTTGTGGGGGCAACAGATGGCCCTAAATTATCAATCCCACCACTTTTTTTTCCATGGGCTTGAAAACTGGATTTAAAAAAATATATATTTTGGGAAACGCTGAAACCTGGTTTCTAGTATGAGGCAGGATACGAAGAGAGCTACTATACTGTTTAAATTAAGACTAAATCCAGAAGGGCGAGACTCAGCAAATAATTTGAAACATGCTAAATGCAGTTTGGAAAATCAGATGATCTAAGCAAATGCAAATGCATTGTACAATAATCGATTTACAAGTACGCTGTGTAGATCAACACCAAAATTAATGGTCTGTGTGGAGAATTTTCTGTGTGTCTGAGAAAGCAATATACTAAAATAGCAGTAAAATTATTTCAGTTAACAAGCAAAAAAAAATGTGATTGATTAGCCCACGAGGAATGTTCAAGCTATCAAATTTACATTCTGGAAACATTCCACATAACACCCCAAAAATTTAATTTAGAATAAAGCAACAAAGAACTTTTAAACACTTTTAAGACTTAAGTCTTATTAAATCCTGGAACCAAATCGATCAAAAATGAATTGCTGTCCTTTTTAGTGTCTTTGTGCCGTGTTAATATTTTTTCTCATCTTTAAGATATTGTACCATTGTTGAATTTCAAGCAAGAGAGTAAGATATACTCTCCCAATTAATGAACAATATTCAGTTTATGATATACATCCCACAGTATTTTAATTTAATTCTAATTAAGCTGAAAATGACAGAGCTGCACCCTAATTAACAAATTTCTTCTTCTTCTTCTTCTTCTTCTTCTTCTTCTTCTTCTTCTTCTTCTTCTTCTTCTTCTTCTTCTTCCTC